TTCTCCTCCAACCACTCTAGCTGCTCCACAGCCACCTTTTCATCCGCTGGGCCCTCTGGTTGCCCCAAGAGGAAATCATCAGAGTTCCCACATAAAGTCACAGTGTCTAGGAGCAGGAGTCGGACTGACACATTGGTGCTTGGGATTGTGAACGACAGATCATAGTATAAATTAGGATACTTCCTGCAAAGGAAAACATCACAGGAGTTAGAGTATTAAGAGTCTTAGGAAGTAAGTGTGTTCAAAATCACAGCAGGTCTAACCGTCCCCTTGTTAGAGTAACATACAAAGCTTCACCTGGGGTGCCAAAAAGGTAGATCCCCAGATGATGTACAACTACAGCTTCTATGATGCTTTTTCATTCTAAAGGCATGCAAAGCATCATGTGAGTTGTAGTTCTACAACATCTTGGGATCTATCTTTTGGGCACCCATGATCTACACTATTCTATTGGCTGTGTGCATGCATAGTGGTAATGGTTGTGTCACTGTTATCACAATGTTGTCCTTTATTCTTTTTGCACAGCTTCCAACACAACACAAACATAGTTACACAATGAGGATAATCCCAGTCAATTATATTGTGACTGTGTCCAGTCACCCTTGAGTAGGCAAAATCCAGCATAGGCATTAGCTACCTGTAGGGGTCACTGTTCACCAAATTAAATGTATCAACTTCCTTAACCCCTTTATTGCAGAAGCTGAGTGTTTCCTTAAAGTCCCTGCTGCCAAATACTGGTAGTTGTATTTTAGGAAAGCTAACATCTTGTGCCTCACCTGCTATTGACCAGGGGAACATACTTTAAGGGTTGAGGGCCAACCCTGGAATGTTTGGTTGGGCTATGACATCCAACAGAACTGAGTGGATGTCCAGCAAGAGAAGGCCAATTGTTTTGCAACCTAACCGATTCTTGGTCATCAGCAAATATGTATAGATGCCTTCTGAAAAGACTTGTGAATTCCACGGAGGAGTTGTACAACTGTATGTCTCTATAATGTTCTGTAATTGCCTGGAACGGAGCTGTGTTTAGATTGATGTTGAACTATTTTTATATTTCCTTATCTGCTCTCGAGTCATCTAGCTAATTCACATAGAATAGCTGCAAAACCTATATCTCAGCTCACTAGAACAATGTAGATCAGGGCACATCTGGTGGGCTCTACAGTAGGCAGCTTTATTATAAATTGCAGAACAAAAACAACGTTTTGGCTCCTTGCTAAAGGCTCCAAGGAGCTGAAATGTTGTTTTTCTTCTGCACTACTGAAGAAACCACCAGGTGTTCCCAGATCTACATTATTCCAGTGAATCTTTCCTGGATCTGTCTGGAGCACCCTGGTGGGAGTACTCCCTGGATAGTGCGTTCATATCCTCTACCTTTGCAATAGTGCCCACAGCAGGGCACCCTTTACATTTTGTATTTTTCTGTGTATATTGTACTTTCAGAAGAGAGATGCTGGTGGTGTTGGGGGATATGTGGGGGAGGGAGTGGACACTGGAAGCAGCTTTGGGGTTAAATTGAGTCCAAAGTCCTTTACAAATCCACAAGCAAGGTATGGAGGAATGGAAACTTAAGCAAGTGTAATGAATACGTGGTTTCTTCATTTACAATAAAATGATGCAAAATTTGTGTGAGATTGTTTCTTAGAATATATCAAGATTTGCACCTTGGTGTAGACAGCTCTTGTACTGAGAGGAACGTTGCGGCTGTGTGTAAATTTCTAAATCACGTGTTGAATTGACAGTTTCATTATATACATTGATTTAAAAAAAAATAAATAAAAAGTAAAAAAACAAAAAAAAAACCACCTTGTTAAAGGTAGTGTGGGCACCATAACAACTTCAATAGACTAAAGTAGTTATAGTGCCTAGAAGCGTCGGGTATCGCATGGCTATTAAACAGTTTACACACCGATTAGGAGAGAGGTTTATTCCACAGCATCCCAGCCTCCCATGATGCAATGACTGAGGTAGAGCTATGCCCCACTTCACTCAATACAGCAACAGCTATAAGTCAACCACTTCCCTAGTTCAAGGAATGTATTGGTATGGTGAGAAGTGGAAGCATATCTCCACTGTATCGTCAATAGAGACTGGCCTGCTGTACCGCACTGCTAAACGGTAAGTAAACTGTTTAACATTAATGCAGAACCTGGATCTCACAGACTCCAGGCAACATAACCACTACAATCCGTCAAAGTGGTTATGGTGCCTACTCTGTTCCTTTAAAAACACATTAAACATTTTTTTTTAATTTTTTTTTTTAAACCAATCAAATTCTTGGGGTTTTCCTCAGAGTTTAAAACATAATCAATATTTAGAATACATGCTCAATTTTGGTAGCAGGGTAACAGCCATAGAACAGTGACAAGATTGATCAAAACAATGGTGGATCTGCTGTATCTTCCATGCACAGTGGACTGCTCTGGTAGATCAGTCTATTATGCAAACTGTATAGGTGCCTTCATTAATGGCTCACACTGGCCAAAACTCATTTGGAACTAGTTAATAAGAAGATTAGTAGAGACTAGTGAAAAACAAGCCCAGTACCAATCCTATTACCCTTATTAAAGTACTAGTCCAACATAGGAATAAGAAAACCTTAAAAAAATGATAATTAACAACTTTATTAAATCCCTATAAAGGAAAAACCACACACAAAAACTGTGCCGGGGGGGCGGAGTCTGACCGTCGAACGGAGCAAAAGCAGGGGACACGAGCTCCTGCTCGACGGGCAGGAAAAGCGGCACAAACGAGGGCTAAATAGCCCAAAGACCTGCCAGGGTGCATCACCCACGTCGGGGGTGCACCCCTGAACCAAACGAGACTTTTTTGGAGCCTGTAGGAGCTATAAAAGCGGGACACCAAGCGCGGCCTACAGAAGCCGGAGCCGGGGAGAGGCGGCCGCTCTCTCCGACACCGGACCCCCTAAGCAACCAAGCAGGTCTCCAACCCCCCCCCTTTGGACCGGTGGGGGATATCCCGGTCCCCACTGGACAGACAGACCAGGCAGGCTGATCAGCCCCTTGGCTACATCGCCGGCAGGAACGCTGGACCACCGAGGTACACACAACATGGCCGCCAAGCAGAAGCCAAGATTGGCGGGCACACACGCCACACCACCAGCTTGCTGCATGGAGGGCTTTGACAGGCTCTGCAAGGGCCTCTGGACACTACTTCGCCACCGCGGAGTGTCCTGCAACCAAGCAGCCAGAACGATCGCCTTATGGATCCGCCCTGTGACACGCAGACGCCATTACAGATACCCACTCCAAGCCAACAGGCCATCTAAACGGCCACGAAGGCGCCAAAAAACGTCATGGCGGACCATAGTACCAGGCTGCCGGAACCCACGCACTCGCACCCATGCACACAGCAGCTGGATCAACGAGCCATCCCTGCAGCCACACCACCTACTCACAACTCTACGCCCGGAGAAGATGGCTGAGCACCACGTGGCTGTACAGAAGGACGCCTCACACAGAAACACCACAGATGGAACTAAACCAGGGGGCCCCACTGAGCAGCGAGCTTTATATGGACATAGCAAGTATCTGCCACCGATGCCCGTAACAGGCATAGGCTGAGGGACTCCTGGCCTGCATAACTAAGCCCCCAGCTTGGGCCCAAAGCAGTAGTACACACCCCCCCCCCCCTCACTACGACCACATGCTAAATAGTATGCGTTGGCACCCTGTGCCTTTATAAATCCCACTTTAGCAATAGCAGATCACCGGCCAGGCCACCCAGTGGAACCTCATTTCATGTAGATAGGGAAGCAGGGACATGTCCTGTTTGCCTTTACAATCTAAGCATTAGCTGCTGACTCCACCTTGTCTACAATGTGTTCTAGAGATCATATAAATACAAACAATGTGTGACTAATCTCTAACAGTTTCATATCTTATATTTTTGCAATGTGCTAGCCGTTAAGCGACTATTGTCTGCTCCTCCTATTGTTAGCACAGATAGATCAAACATGTTTCTATGCCGTATGCATATCACTTCTGTTTTATAATATATAAAAATGTGCAGACATATTACTTGCCATGTTTGAAAATGTATGATTTTGCGTGTAACTGCTGTTGTGGCAACACACGCTCGTTGTTAAAACATGCACAACAAAAATAAAGAATTAAAAAAAAAAAAAGAAACTGTGCCAGAAAAATGTGAT